AGCAGCGATACGTCTGAGAGGCAGGTAGAAATGGTCCATTTACCTTGAATTAGTTCTTATTGGCAAAGTTTCACAACAATGGAAAAATAATTATTTAATTTGAGTATCTTTAATGTAATGTAGCGGAGAATGCTTTCTTAAAAATACATTTACCATTGTGTGTTTAAGAACCTTTTGTTTAGCTTGTTTCTGGGGGTTAATGTGTTTGTTGACACAAAGATGTTGACTGACTTGTTCATTTGTAAATCCTCCATCAGCTGGTGCTGACAAGAAAGCAGAGGCCGGTGCTGGAGCTGCCACAGAATTCCAGTTCGTAAGTACTGCTGCCATATTTTCCCAGTGAATCTTCCTTCAGTCATGAAACCTGACTGTTTAGTTGAGCGATGTATTGACAAACATTTCCTGTTTGCAGAGAGGTGGCTTCGGACGTGGCAGAGGACAGCAGCCTCAGTAGATTTCACCATCTCTTTCTGTACAATAAAGAAAATCAAAATACAACTCGTCTGTCCCAGTTTTGTTGTGTATCAAAACCCTGAGTGGATCCCAGTCCACATTAGTCTTTAAGGCAGGAGGAGTGACCCCTCGCCTCAAGGTATCTGTCTAAAATGGGTTCTCTGGGTACCACCAGTCTCCCCTTCACAGACATCCCTATTCAGAATCAGCTTTATTGGCCATGTACGCTTACGCGTACAAGGAATTTGACTCTGGTTTTTCGTTGCTCATCACTACATGCATACACAGAATCACGTGCAGTTTTTGTGAAAAAACATTCTTTTGCATACAGTAAAAAAACATTCTCGTCTATTGTAAAGAATGCAGTGAATGTTTCTGTATACTAGAGTTACTAGATTTTTGGACTTGCATTGATTGTGAGTGGAAAGCTGAGTCTCATATCCAATGAGCCCAACTGTTTTCTTCTGTGACGTTAGTCCCGTCAGGATAGGTTTGAGGACACCCTGTACATCCCTGGTATGCCCCGTCGGGTGTTTGCACCTTTTATAGTTAGTTATTTATTTGACGACATGATTCTAGCATAGCTCTGCCCAAACATAGACAAGTTTTACCAAGCAGCAGAAGTAAAAACATCTGTGTGGGAGTCTTTCAACTTTCAAAGTGAAGCTGTTTTATGCCGACATCTAAATAGGAAACTGGTGTCCATATTGAATATTGTAAAGTCTGTTTCTTACGTACAAGAAACAGCTTCTGCTTCAGGGCTAAACATTTGTTACACACAGGAAATGGCACATGCAATTGTTCAACTCTTAATGTGAAATAACACCCACAAGCTGTGAGCCACTTCAATACACGCACACTAACTGAACAGGTTCAGAGTGGGTAGTGTGCTGTCGAATTGTACAGTACTATCCCGCAATGCAATACACTACGTACTGTATACTAACAGTATTGTTTATGCATTTAGTGTAAAAAAAAAAAAAACTTGACTGTTTTATAACATGAAATTAGATGTGCCAAATATCAAACCACAACTTAAGCATTAAACTGCCAATTAGACTTCAGAGAAACTTTTCCAAAAAATTAAATGTTTGTTTTCTGTCATTGTTTCACCACCATCCACATGCATGTTCAGCTTCTCCAGCTGTGAGCAGCTCTTCCTTTTGCTTTGTTGGTTGTATTGTGGAAGAACAGTATACAGTACATCGACAGCCTGCAAGAAAAAATATCAATATAGGGTGCACACTGAGCGTTAACCTAATTTAGTTTTTACTTTGTGTCCACTTTTCCATCAGTGTTGATTTGGACTCTAGCCACAGCGACTTGATTTACTGTTTACTAAATGCAAAAAAAGGATCACAAAACCAATGAGGCTGCCCTGAATGTGAAATACTGGTGTTTATTTGTTGGCACATTTATATTACAATCTTCAGTCTTCTCGCACTGGTTTTATTCCACAGTCCCAAATGACAAAAGGGAAAAGAGAGAAAAATCCAGTGACACATATACCTCGGAGAACAAAATTACGAGTCTGCAACTTCAAGGCTGAGGTCAGGTGCACGCGTTTAGTTTGTTATTCAATTACTAGTATCCGGGGAGAACTTTTAACCTTTTACTCAGTTATTAAAATGGCCATCTGACCATCACGCTAAAGGAAACTGAATATTACAATCCTCAGCAGCAAAGTGATGTGCTTTTAATATACAGTATATATGTTTTTTTTTTGTTTTGGCCACAAGATGGGGCAGTACATGTATACCATCACCTTTGGTAAATGAAAAATGAAGTGACTTTATCTGAAGCTCTAATTGTTCTCTGAGTAATTCATGCTCTTTTGTTTTTCAATGGCATACAAAAGAGCCAAATGGTCTAGAAATCTGCAGGGACTCCAACGTGCTTATATGGACACATGTACTTCATAAATCCACTCCTGAACTCCAGATCACTGTACATATGACAGGAAGTGCTTGTATTGTGAGTTAGAAAAAAAAAAAAAAAAAGAAAAAGGACACTAATCCTTATTGTCCAATGTGCGTCCTCTGGCTGTAAGGGTGCTGTGTTAGCTATATACAAGACACAACAGATTAAAGAACGGACAAAAGAAATCTTATGGATCAAGAACAAGTGGTCATTAATAATGAAGTCCCTGGCTGTTACTTGTGGACATCCTCCTCACATTCATTTTGACAGTACCTGTCACACGCGTCCAACCACCGAGAGGGAATGAAATCATCGCCAATTACTCACTTTTACATTTGTCTTTTTTAAGCCATATACAGATTCAAGCCCTTGGTGTCCGATTGCACATTTCAATGAAGACTTGGAAAAAGGGTCTCGTCAACATGAGCTCTCTTTTGAAGTGCCGGGTGGTGCGTCGTAAAGCCAGACTTTGGCCACCGCGCCTTTCTGGTACACAGCAATAAAATCAAAGTCTCAACCTGTTGTAAAGGAGACTTTAGACTCCTTCCACATACACTTTCGTTCAGGGAGTTCGTCATGGAGGGATAATAAAGGAGTCCGTCTGAAGCCTGATTTGCTGGGAGAAAGGGCCGCCTTTGATCCCCCAGATTTCACTTCTCAGTGTCGTTTCCCATGAAGGCTTCTGGACAACTGAATAATGATCCTATAGTTTTCTGCCAATACTTAATAAATGTGCATCCCATCATTTTAACCAAGAACAATTTTACTTATTTTGTTGGCATTCAAAAATAAAAAATACAGCTCCCATGAGTCTTAGCGGTAGACGCACAATCAAAACCTAAGAGAGCCGTTGTTTTTGAGAGCTGGCAAAGTAATCACTGATGTATCTGTATTAAAAAGGACTCAACGTTTACAATCCATAAATCATACTCCATCTTTAAAGCTGCTATCATCAATGTTTCTATACAAACAGTGGATCACATGACTTGTTTGTTACTTGAAGTCATGAACCTGCAGAGTATTACCAACTGACAGTAGTCCCAGGCTCGACAGGGCTAATAGCATCTTTCAGCTCATTGTTTTGATTTTATGGCCCACCACTTTGATGTTTTAGTTAACCAACTGCTAAAAACAGTTGTTAGGAAGCCTGGTATTTACCTCAGGAATTAGTGGAGACCAAAACTGAGATAAAAGAGGATTTAATATTGGACTAACGTTTATCATATGGACACAAACGCAACACAATGAAAGCCAGCATTGCTCTTTAAATGGCGGATGTGTAAATAAGCAACAGTTTCTGCCATGTAGACTTAAATGACTGACTCATGTTTGCTGCGGCAGATTAAAATATGGACAGAAAAGCAGAGTATCATGTGAAAGAACAATGAAAGAAACCCTCTGTGGGAAACACTCGGACTGAACAGTGAAACAGCTGCTTTACTTCTACTAATTAGTGGTTTGGAAACTCGCTGAGTCAAAGAACAGTAATCCTTAACTGTTACAAGGTTGTTTTTTTGTCGAAAAAAAAGGAAGAAAATCTGAACTTTGAGAATATTCGATTATAAATAGGCTCCTCCCTCTCACCAACAACCACACTCCTCGTCCTTTGGCCTCACATCGATGTATTCTATCCCAACAGCTCCAACGCCACGCCTTCAGCCCGTTCTTCCAGCCTCAGTTGAAATGACATGTCGGACTCACAGATGAGTAAGAGGTGCTTTTTGTCATTTGTACTCTCCCCTTTGATCTATACAGAAATAAACAATGTACAATAAAAACCTCTAACATGCTATCTACAGCGCCTCCAGTTTCACAGTATTGAGCCAGCTGCCTGACGCCACATCGAGGCCCTGTGACGCAGCTCGGCTAAAGAGACTTTTGCCAGACGTTAGAGAGAAAAAACATAAAAATAAAAACAAAAAACTAGTATCCAAAAGCATTTTACATGTTAAAAACAAGGTCTCAAACTGTACAAGGCTTGTTTGTTCTGCACCAGCATTATAGATTTGATTACTTTCGATGTCAAACAGGTGTTTGAGTGTTTTCGGGGATGCAGATTAAATAACAAAAGAAATGACCACAACGAGTGCCCACTAAAGTCACCTGTGCCGTTCCGAGCAGTGTAAACAATTGCTTTTTTTTAACCAAACTGAATGTGAGGAGTAAAACATGGAAATGGGGGTTTAATAACTTAAGTGATATGTGCTGCATTTTGAAATTCAAAAGTTCATGAATTTGAAATCTACTGTCCTCTCAGCATGTGGAGGAAGACTTTGTAGTCAGTCAAAGGAGAGCAGTTAAACAAAGGAAAGGGATTTAAAAAGGAGGTAAAGACACTGAGGAGAAAACAAAAAAAAAGGTGGTTCATTTGACATTGTATGTTGACATTCCTTCACTCTCTTTACCGTGTTCGTTACGCTCTGCTGGAGAGTGAAACCTGTAGTGCTTGGCTAGCTTCCCCAGATAAGAGAGAAACACACTTGACACTTGAAATTTGAAGAAGAAAAAAAAAAAAAAAAAA